TATTTTTTTAAACCTGAAGGCCATACAAAACAAAGTACACATAAAATCCCGTATATTGGGCCTAATTGATTTGTCCCGTACGCGACGTCCCTTGTCCCGTTTATTCCGTTTATTCCGTTTGTCCCCAGTGGACAAAAGTGAAGCAATACGTACCGGGTGGTACATATTTGTGGCGCTGCAAAAAGTGTGCAGGGGTACGTATTTCCTATGAGACCAGGTTGAGTAATCCAGTTTTAATAGCATTTTTGTCATAGATTATGATCATATATTTTTTTGATTTGTTGTTTTTCTTTTGTCTGTATTAAGTAGATTGTGTCAAGTCAAGTAAAGTCACGTCACATATATATTTATATAACGCTACAATACAGAGTGTTTCAAAGCAGCTTTACAGAGATAACAGGACAATAATGACACAGAGTGTGTTTCCAGAAGAGAATAGCGTCACAGTCCAGCTTAACTCAGTTCAGTGATGCTTCATTTTTGAGGAATAAAAACAAGGAGGGAATGGATTTTCTTTATTGTATGGTGGTTGTGTCCACACACTGCAAACACACATTTATATGCAAACACCATATAAAAGTGAATTTTGCATCCGATGACCCCTTTAAAAAAAATAAAAAATAAAGGGGGAATGCAAACAGTCACACAGATCCAAAAAGCACAACCGCTTCCAACAACTGGACCGGCAGGACACAGATCTCTGGAGAAAGGTTCTCCGACTGACAGTTCTGCTTGCTTTTATGATGCTTATGACACAATTAGTTACAGTTACAGTGAAAGACACAAAACAACAACAAAAGAAAGAAAAATATACCTCAGTAGCAGCTCTCACAAACTATACGCATTTGGACGTAACAGTGCTGTATCTGTATAGTTTTATTACCAATGTTGTTCTTGTGTGAATTATGATTTTAGATGAAAGGATTCTGTGTTCATGCTGAGCAACGATGCTTTAAAGTGATGCTTAACTTTCATAACTATACAAAAACACTTTAGCAATTTACAAAATCATCTTTCTTTAATTTCTCTGTCCTAGTTTCTTTTCCTCGTATCTATAGAGGGATGAACTAGAACATGAGGAAAGACTGATGCTGATGGTTACTGCACTTTTATATTCCTTTTATTTTTGATGCTACATTAATCTGGCTTTAACTAAACTGTGTGTGTTGTCTGTGTGATGAACAGATTCAAATGGAGTGGAGAAAGAAAATCAGCAGAAATCACAGATCAGCAGAAAACAAGAAGACTGAGAGAAACATGGAGGACAGAAATGAGACACTAACCAGAGAATCACGAGAGGAAAGAGGAGAGAGACGTGATAGATGTGAGAGTATGGACAGAATAAAGCCAACCTGTGAGTGTTTGATCATTATGACTCTTATAGTCTCTTAATATTATTGTCTTCACAATCGACAATCCTGTTATAAAGTTCCACATTCAGAGAGATTCATCACTTTCTACAGTCACAGATCAATGTTTTCAGATGTTTACAAAATGTTGACAGAATGTATTATAGATCAAGGACATAAAAACAAACCCAAAGCAATCAGGATAATCTGATATATTTGTGATTTCTAGTGTCCTGTGATCCAGACGGGCCTGTAAAGAGTGATTCTGATGTCGAAACTGAGGTCAAAGGTCATCAAACCCTTCATCATGTTCTCAAAAACACACAACATCACTGACATCATCATCATCATCATCATCATCTGTTCACTCCTGGACTGTTTTACAGACTCATGAACAGTTTCTTCTTCAGATGTGTGTCTCAATCCTGCACTTCTGCTTTACTGACACACTAGTGTTCCTGCCTCTTATAGTGAACACTCGCACATGCTGATGTGAGTAATAGAGGCTACTGTAAGTGTGTATAACTGTGTATAGTATTTGTTCACTTTGTTGGCTAAACCTTACGTTTTTTCCCCCATTCCACTGCGCTACTTTTCCATTCTTTTCCTATGAAAACATGCGCTTTAACTGTGTACAGTAAATTCTTCTGTTGTTTTGTATGTAGTGTATGTGCAACTTTGTGTTGGTTGGGAATGGGATGCACACTCTGTTCATTGTTTTTGTGGGAAAAATAAAATATATTTGTTACCGTGTATTTGTGTGTTCTGAGTATAAAAACAATATTCTCAAATATTTTACTACACACTTATGTATGTACTGTCTGTAGTAAGTGTAACACTGAACAAAAAAAGGCCTAAGTCATTATGATGAATGGAGAAGAAGTGTTTTCCATTCATCATAGTGTTTTACATTGAGCACATCAGTGTTCAACTGGTTTTTATAAATGTCTATTCATATGATGGTTTGTGTGTGTCATTTGAAAACAAAATACCATTTTGAGAAGAAATAACATTGTTTTGAATGTAAAGTTTCATTTTGCAGGAGAATTGAGGGGTTTTGCCCATTGTGTGTGTGTTTTTTGATTTGTGTGTAGAGTTCTGAGAATATGAGGCATTCTTTCAGAAAATGTGTGTAAACAATCGAGAAAAACTGTAACTCTAGTTGTGTTGTAGTTGTTTAGTGTTTTGCAGCACCAGAGCATCTCAGTGTGATGTGTTTTTTAGGGAGGGAGAATGTGTTTAGAGTTTTGTAAAAATAATACATGAGCTGGAACTACACAGAAACCACATGAAGTTCATTAAGGAAGTGTGTGTGTGTGGTTTTCATCTCTTGTTGTCGGCTCTGTGTGCTTTAGGGTTATTCTGTGCTGCTGCAGAAATGTGTTTAGAGTTTTGTAAAAATAATACATGAGCGGGAACTACACAGAAACCACATGAAGTTCATTAAGGAAGTGTGTGTGTGTGGTTTTCATCTCTTGTTGTCGGCTCTGTGTGCTTTAGGGTTATTCTGTGCTGCTGCAGAAATGTGTTTAGAGTTTTGTAAAAATAATACATGAGCGGGAACTACACAGAAACCACATGAAGTTCATTAAGGAAGTGTGTGTGTGTGGTTTTCATCTCTTGTTGTCGGCTCTGTGTGCTTTAGGGTTATTCTGTGCTGCTGCAGAAATGTGTTTAGAGTTTTGTAAAAATAATACATGAGCGGGAACTACACAGAAACCACATGAAGTTCATTAAGGAAGTGTGTGTGTGTGGTTTTCATCTCTTGTTGTCGGCTCTGTGTGCTTTAGGGTTATTCTGTGCTGCTGCAGAAATGTGTTTAGAGTTTTGTAAAAATAATACATGAGCGGGAACTACACAGAAACCACATGAAGTTCATTAAGGAAGTGTGTGTGTGTGGTTTTCATCTCTTGTTGTCGGCTCTGTGTGCTTTAGGGTTATTCTGTGCTGCTGCAGAAATGTGTTTAGAGTTTTGTAAAAATAATACATGAGCGGGAACTACACAGAAACCACATGAAGTTCATTAAGGAAGTGTGTGTGTGTGTGGTTTTCATCTCTTGTTGTCGGGTCTGTGTGCTTTAGGGTTATTCTGTGCTGCTGTAGAAATGCTGTTGTTGCTCGACACTGAAAATAAGCCGTTAATGCTTCATTTAATGCTATTTTTTTGTATATTTGATGATGGTGATTCTTATTTTGAGGATTATGTTTTATTCTCATTGAATTCTGCACAGCATCTGAAAGTTGTGTTTGAGAGCGGATCACGTGTGAATGGAGTGTTTTGAGAGTGAACTTTTTCCAGTGTGTTAGTGAGTCATCCTGTGCTTATTATGCAGAGAATAATAACAGAGAATGTCTGTTCTCCCAGTTAAAACTCATAACAGCAACACAACTACATTACACAATATATTATACATTACTACATTCAAATTTCACGATCTGAAAAGCAAGAATCAAACTCAAAACGCAAGTAACTTTGTGGGCAGCTCTCGGGATAAATGACTCTTGGGTTCGACGCAAATCTAAAATGGGTTTGATCTAAAGCAAGGCATGTTTGAGATGCGCCTCACCTGAAGTGTATGTGAGAGTAGGAGTGAAAATACACAGGCAAGCCGGACAGTTTTCTCTGCATGTCTTTAGTCATCTTTTTCTAGTCAGTCCTTTTGTGGGACATTATTCAGTCACACGTGAAGTTTGCTTATCAGAATCTGAATAATAAAAGTTAGGAGGAGTATATTATTAGATTAAATTGTTAATTTAGGACATTTATATTTGCAAGCAAAAAATAAAATAAAGAAAAAAAGTGTACATAAATAATTAAATGTATTATGAGAATATGCGTGCATTAGACCCTACATCAAAAACTTTGTAATTTGGCCACAACAGGAAAATGTGTACATTTTAAAATCGGCCACAACAGGAAGTTTACCAAAAATGAAAGTTTCAATATTAATCTGTACGTTTTCATTTTTTGTTGCTTTAAAACACATTTTCATCTGTAGATCCTTTAACTCTGCTGTGATTCTTTATTTTATTATTTTTTTCAAAATTCGAAAGAGAAAGTAAAAAGCCCTGATGAAATACACTGCACAATCTGTTTCCCAAAATCAATATCAATATCTGAGCTTAGGACTGTGGTTGTGGATCTGGTCTCTGTTTGCACTTTTAATATTGAGAGAGAACTTTGATTATGGTTGCACTTATTGTTTGCACTTAATAAGACTGTAAACTGTTATTTATTTTTGTTATTTATACTGTTTTTATTTCCATGTAAAATTTGTGGAAAGGAGTTTAATCAGGAGGTCACACACACACACACACACACACACACACACACACACACACACACACACACACACACACACAGAGAGAGACTACAGTAAGGATTGAAAAGACTCGTACATGAGAAAAGCCAGTCAGTTGAGCTTGTGGTAAACCTTTAACAGTGCTTGTATATTGTTGCCTTTCAATGCATTTGATAATTCATACTCAGAAACTGAAAAAATGACATTCGTTATAAGATGATTAGTTTAAACATAAACATTTCAAAATGCACCTGCAGACTATTTTTCCAGTCATGAATCAATTTGCTCTTTATTGTCCGATCTTTCCTTTATCCTCACTTCTACATTTTTCTCTGATAAAATGTTCTCTTCATATTTCTACAGAGTCTTTTAAGTCCTGAGTCTCTGTCCTATAACCCTCTGTGTCGTCTTGTTCTTTTTCTGGACTGTTTAATCTCTGTTCCTCAACAGGCCTCTCTGGGTCTTCCACCTCACTTTCTATCTGTTGTTCTTCGATCTGCTCTTCATCTTCCAGTCTTTCCACTTCTACACTGTTTTCCAGTATAATGTTCTCTTCATCTTCTACAGCCTCTTTCAAGTCCTGCCTTTCTGCTTCATTACCTTCTGTGACCTCTTGTTCTTCTGGACTCAAACCTTAAAAAAAGTACCATTAGTCATATTAAAACACATTAAAAAAAACTTTGAAATAAAGTGCAGTTTAACATAGAAACTTGTATAGCTACAGTACAAATACAATTTACCCTTTAAAATATGCTCAAAGAGGATGAGCATTTTTTCCATCACCATATGTCCCTCAGCTGGGTTTTTGAGTTATTTTTTTTTTATGTCCAGGCTTATTATTTATATTATACCATACAAAAATTCTGAAAGGTTATTCAGACTGTATTATTTCAGCAAAAAACAAAAACAAATCAAGGTTTAGCTAAAGTTGAGTTTGACAAGCTTTCTGCTTTCAATGAACATCAGTTCACTTGTAGCCATATTTGCAACGCCTCCAGGCAACTTTTTTTAGATTATGCAAGGCTAACTGATATTTACTTGAATGGGAAACTCCTATCTGACACAAACTGTGTCATAAGACTGTGTCAAATAGAGTTAAATCTGTACATTTTGTTTAGATTTAGTCATTGTGCATGTGTAGTAGTTCTCCTTTTTCTGGGAACCAGAGCTTCTAATGCAGCTGCAGTGATGTGTGACTTTACCAACTGCTTATTAGCTCTTTTATTTACAAGAGTTCTGCGCATTAGTGCCAAATTAGTGGAAATAATATGAATGACTTTTTATTTGAACTGTCAGTTTACAGGAATTACAATTTATTCATGATCATGTAATGTATTATGTTTATGTATGTATGTAAAACATCTTTATATTGTATAGCCTCCTAAATACAGTAAAAGTTTTAGTTTAGAACAAAGTGTGAGGTTATTTAATTAGAATGTTGAACTTTGCTAGCCTGGTTAAAACCAGCCCCTTCTCATTCGTAACCGAGTTATGGTCTGGGGAAGGTTCATAGACAAATCATTTCCAAAGGGGCGTCACCAACAGACGTCGCTCAAATGCCTCTGGGCGCAATTGGATAGAGCTAAAACCAATCAGAGCGATTGTCATCGTGTAAAGCCCACCTCAACGTTTGTGAATGTGCCTCAATTTGGAAAGATTGGAGATGAGCTTGAATGGGCTCTTGGCCAGACTGACTTGCAGAGCAAATCTCAAATTTGCCGGAAGTTCGCCTGGGTTAGTATTCCTGTATTGCGTGTGTGTGTTCTCTTGTGTTTCTCTTCCCGCTCTCTCTCGGTTACTTTCGCTTTTGCAGGTACCCGTGATTGGCTAAGTGACCTGTCAATCATTGTTAGCGCTGACGTCACCTCTTCTCGCTGTCACCAATGGGAACAGGCCACCTGGGGAATAAGAGTGCACGCCAGACGTTTCCACAGAAGCTCTCGGCTCGCTGAGACTCAGACCACGCAGCTTTCTGTCATGACTTTGTATACCCTGTAATGATATGACGCAGCGCCTGAAAATAGGCCACCTTCCGTCAACACAACGGAACTATTTTCAGGCGCTGCGTCATATCATTACGCTGCTGCACTCATGGTACGGCAGTGAAGTTTCTTGATTATTACGCAGGAATGAGAGTATAGTTCCTAGCCATATCAGCCTAGAAAATCGCAACTTTACATTTTCCGTCGGTCTTAGTGCACGATGTAACAACAGAAGAGTCAAGTTTTAAATAGGAAAAATATCGAAACTCTTTGGTCATTTTTTTTTTAGAAATGCTAATGGTCTTGTCCACTCCAATGATGTATGCTAAGCTATGTTAAAAGTGGTACCGCCAGAACCAGAGATGGGCTGAATGGATTCAAAAACGGTAAAACTCAACAGTTTAACTCTGGGGGAGTTGTAAAATGAGCCTATTTCCAAAAAAAGTGGAGTATCCCTTTAAAGCTGTGGTTCTCGTTCACTCTGTGTGATGCTGAGTTTATGTATGAGTGAACTCGGTTAGGGGCGAGTGCCACTCCCTGTATTTCTGTTTTCTGTTAGTTTGTGGAGATTAGGTAGGGCGTCTTGGACGCTGAAGATTATTGTTTTCTTCTTTATTTTCTTAGTTAGGATTAGAGGTTATTTAACAGCTAGACTTCGTTTGGTTTTGTTATTTTCTTTTCTTTGGCGCCGTCCACGTCTATCTTTTTCTCTTTTCATTAACTTAATCTATCTTACAGAAATTCTGTATCTCATGTCCATTTATATATATGTAACCCCTTTAAATTTAGGTAGTTAACAGACTCTTAACTTGAAAAAAAATGTAGTAACTACTATTTTGCCACTAGAGGGCGTTTCTCCGTGACTAGTAAAATAATTGGAAAAAAAGTATTATTATAAAACGCAAGAGAGAGCGGAGAAAGAATAAGACGATTCAGAGTGTAACTATTCAAACAAAAGAAAGAAATAGAGTGTGAAGAACATTTTTTTAAGTTCTTTTCTACTGAAATCCGGGGGAAGAAACATCTTTTCATACTTTTATTTCGAAGAACTCCGGTGAGTGTTTTCTTACTCTGTTGTTGCTTTTGTAATCAGTCATGTGTGTTCAATTAATGATTTGCGATAAGAAATATGATTGATAACTAACTGATGATGAGTAAATATTGAAATATCCATGTTGTGACAAATAGATAAAGGATAGTTTTGTCATTTAACCAATCGGAGTTGAATCCAATGTGATGTTAAAATCAACTGCGTCACATACTAATCAATGTGCATTGGTTTGTGTAAACAGAGCCATTTGACGATAGTTTGATGTTAATTAACTCTGGGGATATTGTTGTAAAATAATCAGAGTAAGTGATTTGATGAATATGTATATATGACATTTAGTAGTTTCATTTAGTTTTGAGTCATATAACAATAATAATATGTCAGACATTGCTCTGTCTAATGTTGATTTAAGTGGGTATATTCTCCCAGGATTTTCTTTGTAAACCAAGTTAATGAGTTAATATACAATTGAACAAAGAAAAGCAAAAGATCTGAAATTTCATGTGATTTATATCTGTTGTCAATTCAGATAATGTCAATGAGTGACAAGTTCTCTGCATTATGCAGGTTGGTTTTTTTCTTCCTCCTTGTTTCCAGTTGATGTGTACTTCTTGAGTTGACTGCGGACGAGCGAACTGTCTCAATCCTCCTTTCCGAACTTAGACGTTAACTATACTGTGCCCATTCAACCTGATCAGTTTATTTAGAACTTTACAATAGAGTGATACAACGTGTTACATATATATTAATCTATATTCGTATAGATTAATTCACTTCACTTTTGCCACTTACCTTGTTTACTGAATAAAGGGTTTGGCTTTTTGCACAGTAAGCTTGATTGTTGGGTCTTTTGTACAAAGTACCATGGCTTATATATGTTCCTCTATAATGCCACATTTAAAATGTTGGACTCCCGAACCCCTGGACTAATTCGGGGGTCGTAACACTAGAACTTTGCTTACCATGATGGCTGAATTGTCAAGGACTGGATTGATTCCATGACCTAACTGTTGTTTTAGCCACTGCTGGGCTTTGGCACGAAACTTTGCCAAACGCACTGATTGCTTATTTTTAAAATGAAGCAATTTTCCACACTACGAAAAGAGAAACAGAAATACATTGAGTATTAAAATAATTCCAATAACACATAAAGAAACTGTGTTCGTTATGCACAATCACCTTAAAACAGGACCGGTGTCGGCAGTTCATCTTAATCTGGCAGTGGAGACACTGGCGTAAGGTTGAACTGGCATTTGGACTATACAAAAACAAAACAAACTGACTAAATTTGACATAAAAGACAGACATCAAATACAAAACTTGAATTAAAGATTAATTTATCTTTGATAAGTATATGGTTTTTGAGAGGTGTGCGTTTATGTATATATACATAACACACACACACACACACACACACATATATATATATATATATGTCAAAAGCCACATACTTATTAAAGACTTATAATAGCTAATTTATTTTCATTATCATCAAATGTTTTCAGGATTGGCCAAGATAAACAGTATGTGATTATTGCGCAGGGCTGTTAAATTCTACATATCTGTGATCTACACGTAAAGACATAAAGTAGTGTGATCTCATCATAACTTATATGTAGCTATATGCTATATGTAAAGCTATACGTTTTTAGTGAAAAAAAAGTGGCAAAAGTGATGTAATGAGACAGACAAAATAATGTGAATTAATGCTTTGAAAAGCAACTGTTGTGCTCAAATTGACTTATTGTGCATTAAATAAAGAAATCTGCAGAGAAGCTGTAGAAGAGCAGACGCGACTCTCTCGTTCTTTTCATTGTTTACTGTTTTACAGATAACAGTAATCTGTCAGCCGGGCCTGTATCAAACACAAGCATTTTTGCAGTGCATAAACCGATCGGTCTGCAGTGCACAAAACAAGCCGAGCATGACACAAAACCACATGAACACAGTTGAACCAGTTTATACTCTGAGTTAACAGAAAAACCACAACCAAACCTGCACAGTTGATGCGATATCTTGCCTAAAATAAAGGTACAGCTGTAAGGTGGAAAACTTTTGCAAATACAGTGCACTTTACTTTCATTTCACTGACAGTGGGATTATTTATAGAAACATGACCTATTTAGGTGAGGGTGTGGCTTGAATAACTGAGTGTGTGTGTGTATTCTGATCCGGCATCAGTATCACCAGAGGAGGAGTTTAACACACTTCACACTGTGTAAAGCAGATGTTTCTGAACGGTCTGATCTCTCTCAGATCTACACTGCATGTTTCATCTCTTCTGTTCATCACATGGTAATTAAAACACTTTATCTTTAATTGTTTTGTAAAGAGATTTTATCAATTAATTAATTAATTTAAATCCAGACATGTATGTCGCTTTTATAGTGTTTACATTTATAGTGAAACTGAAATGTAAACCTGTATTTCTCAACAATCATTAACTGATTTTAAACTTCTCTCTGAACTGAACCACTGTATTGTTTTGAACAGATATTACCAAAGGCAAAATATATGAGAAATTACAGCATCGGAGAACATGAGCTTCACAAACTACAGAATAAATAAACGTGACAAGAGAGAAAGAGAAGAATGGGGAACCAACAGGACAAAACGTTACAATCTGATGAACCAGAACAGAAAAACACGCCGAGTCTAGTCAGACACAACAGCATGGGCAGACTGAAACCGAACTGTGAGTGTTTATGATGTTTAACATCATACACTTATTTTCATATATATGTTTCATCTTCTCTGGTGTC